GGAGGGCGGGAGCGAGCGCGGATGAAAGAGGGCAGGGCCGACGCGCCGAGGCCGGCCCGGAGATGCCCCCGCACGTCCAGGGCCGCCGCCCGGCGCCCCGAGGGGCGATCGGCGTCCGGAGCTCTCTCCCCGGGGACGACGGGCGAGTCCAGCGGCCTGGCGGGACGCGGGAGACGAGAAGGGGAGGACTGGAGAGTCCCGGCTCCGGGAGCGGTGGCCGCGGCTCTGGGGTTCGCGCGAGAGGGCAAGCTCAGGTAGCTGTGCGGCTGCCGAGGGTTTCGGTTCTGGTGCGCCACGACGGGCCACTGCCGCTCACTGCCGCCACCGCCACGGTCTGCGCGCCCGGCCTCGGCACCGCCTCCTCCCGGGCGACTGCTGCTACCGCCGCCATCCTCCGGCTCCCACGGCGGCTCGCGGCTGAGTGGGAGGCGCCTGCTCGCGCTCCGCCGGGACCACCTTCCCTCCTCCCCCGGCCAGCTGTTATTAACGGAGAAAGAGGGGAAATGGTGGCGCGTGAGGGGTGGACAGCAGGGAGGGGCGGCGCGCGCTTCCCGGCAACCGTCGCCTCGCTCCCGTAACGTACGGCCGACGGGCCGCCTTCTTCAGGAAGGCGGGGCCGGGGCGGTCAGGGCCACGAAGGTGGGGGTATCCACGACGGGAAGAGGTTCCCGGGCTTTCACACCGGAAGGCGAGAAAAAGCGCGGCTACAGGACGCGCCTGGGCCCGTGTGTTTGGGTCGTGCGCGCTGACCCCGCCCTCGGCCCCTCGCGCAGCCCGGTCGATTGGTTCTGGCCAGTTAGGCCCCGCCTAATCTGACCGCCGTTTTCCCGCCCCGGTTCCGCCCCGCTAAGGTACAGCGGTGTGGTGGCTGCGGCCACCCGCAGACTCTGTGATGGACAGATCGCTGGCCCCGCCTCACCCCTCCAGGGCGAGCCCCCTTTCTCCACCGCTGGGCCTGCGCTGATTGGAGTGACAGGGCCGCTGCGACGCCAACCTGAGCTCGGCCCCTCCTTCCCAATGGTCATTGGGCTGCTGGAGAAGACATGGGGTGCTACTTGATATTTTGTGGCTAGGTTGCTCACTGAAGAGTAGGCAGTTGGAACTAGCCTGCTGCTCCAGGGGAGAACAATGAGGCAGCCTTATTCTTTAAGATTTACCGCCTTGGAAACCCAATGGGTTAGTTACTCGAGATCTTATATACAATCAATAGAAGTGGAAATCCACTGTAAGGCAATAGATTTTTTGGTTTGTGGCCGGAACAAGTCCCTTTGCACGGGTGTGAAGTTTTATGCATTAGACAGACTGCACATAGCACCGTATGCAGAATACAAACAGATTTGGAAGATAATCCAACCTGACCTTCAACAAACTGTAAGGCTTGTGTGATAGAAGCTGCAGAGGACTCAGGAGACCTAGGATAAGGCCAAAGCTGAGCCAAATTATGTGTAGGGAGCAAATTGTTTTTACCCTTTTATCTGGGAAGCGGGTGCTAAATTTTTAGGGTAGCTACCTACTGTATTAAGTTACTATTTGAACACATTTTTTAAAAAACTCATGTTAAATCACTAAATGCAGCCTTAAATTTGAGTTTGCCATTCAGAAAACCTTAAGCCTTTTAAACTTGTCTCTACTAACTAACCCACTAAATATTGAGTTAAATAAGCTCATACACATGATGAATTGTTATATTTCTTTTTTTATTATTAATTTCAGTAAAAATTTACAGAGACTTTGGATTTCCATTCATTCATTGTTGCACTTTTCTCCCCTCCCAACCCTCCCCCCCTAGTGCACGACCCTCTTGGAAAAGTAAAACAAAAATTCTTTCATTGTTTTACAAACCCTCCCCCAGGTCCACTCCACCATGTAGCCTTCCCTCTAGACTCCTGTCATGACAAAAATACCTAATCACATATCCCTTTTAAACAGTTTTCTCCCTCATCTATTGCAATGCAGTATATGTTATTGAACCCATCTTTCTCAGTCTCTCCCCAACCCCAAGGTCAGTCCTGTTTTACAACAGTGGCACCATGCAGTATTTGTCCTTTTGTGACCGAAATACTTCACTCAGCATAATGTCCTCCAGAGTCACTCATTTTGAATAATATTGCATGAGTTCCTTATTTTTCAAAGCAGCATATAATTCCATTGCGTGAATATACCACAGCTTCTCTATCCATTCGTTTGTTGATGGGCACTTAGGTTGTTTCCAACTCCTTGTTATTGTGAACAAAGCCGCAATAAACATGGGTGTGCATGAATTATTATATTTATATGAAATAGTAATGCTTTCACACACACACACACACACACACACACACGCGCGCGCCACACAAATGCATTTAACTTTATTTAAACACTTTGTTCCCAGGGTAACAGATTACTTCCTAAATGACTCATTACATATATCAATAAATATTAATTGCCCTAAGCAACCAGACTGTCGAGGACTTCGTTCATAGGGTCGCTATGAGTTGCCTACGACTCTACGGCACTTAACAACAACAACAACAGCAACAACAAGCAACCAGAGCTCTGTATGCTTTGTAAAAATTGTCGTTGCTGTTCTTAGGTGCCCTTGAGTGGAGGACGACTCATAGTGACCCTATGAACAAAAGATTTGAACCTCCCCTACCCTGTTCATCTTTATCATGTCTGGCATACTTGAGCCCATTGTTACAGTCACTGTGTAACCACTGTGCATTCCGTGGGACTATTTCATTAAAAGTCCTTCTCTCTTTCACTGACCCTCTACCTTTCCAAGCATGACGTATGTACCTTTCCCAAAGTTTGTGAAATGAAGCTTTACCATCTTTGCCTCCAAGAATCACTCTGGGCTTTTCTCAAGGCATATAAGCTTGTTCTTCTAGCTCTTCTCCAACACCAAAACTCAAAGGCATTGATTCTTTTTCTGTATCCTTATTTATGGTCAGATTTCAGATGCTTAACAAGTAAATTAAAAGACCACAGCCAGGATCAGGTGCACCTTAGTCTCTAACACCATTGTTTCTCAGTACTTTGGAGAGGTCCCTAACAGCAGACTTTCTCAGTGCAGTATGTCTCCTGATGCCCTGACTCTTGGTACCAAGGATGTTGATTGTGGATACAAGTAAGATGAAATTGTTGACTATTTCAATCTTCTTTCCATCGATCATGATATTGCTTATTGATCCGGTGATGAGGATTGTTAGCTTCTCGTTGTTGAGATGTAATCCACACTGAAGGTTGCTGCAAGTGTTTCAAATCCTCCTCACTTTAAGCAAGCAAGGTTGTACAGTCTGCATAACACAGGTTGTGGATAAGTCTTCCTCTCATCCTGATGCCACCTTTTGCTTCATGAAGTCCAGCTACTAGAATGATTTGTTCCACATACAGATTTAGTAAGTATGAGGAAAGGATACAACCCTGATGCACGCCTCTCTTGATTTTTAAACCATGCATTATTCCCTCACTCTGTTCAATAACAGCTTCCTGGTCTAGCTATAGGTTTCATATGAGCATAATCAAGTGCTATAGGATGCCCATTTTTCTCAATGTTAACTGTAGTTTGTTACAATGCACACAATCAAATACCTTTGCATCAATAAGGCACAAATAGACATTCCATCTGACACCAGCCGTGCCCTGATTCCCTGGGACCATGGCCTTTTCTAAACCCAACTTGAACTTCTGGCAGTTCTCTGTCAATGTATGGTTTTAAGCATTTTTGGATGGTCTTCAACAATATTTTGCTTGCATGTGACATATTAACAATATTTTAATAGTACTACCCAATTAAAAAGAATTTTAAAATATAATGAAATCTGGATATAATGAAGTAAACATTATTGAAGCACAGGGTTTTATTGATAAACCTATTTAGTAATCTTACTTATTGGGATTTGTTCCCATTACTGAGATAGAAAATGTTTATGACTAGATGTATGGCTGATAAGTAATGGTTTACTCCCATGGTTATTGACTCTTGAGAGATTTGCACAAGTCTTTTCCTGTACTTCTTTTCCTTTTATCACGGTGTTTTATACTTCTCTTTAATAAAATAGTTAATTTCTATCACATTGGCTATACAGTTCTGCTAAGAAAAAAAATGTCTTTAACATCAGCGTTCTAAAAAACCCCACCAAAGTATTGCCATCTAATAGGCTGACTTAGTAACCCTCTGTCACGTTTCTGAGGTAAAAATCTTCACAGGAAGAGCTTGTCCATCTTTGTCTCTCTAAAGGGCTGGTAGATTCAAATTGACAACATTTGGTTAGCAGTTTGATACTATGTCACAGGAGTTCTGTACTCAAAGCTGTAGTGAAGAAAAGTTAAATTGGATCAAACACTAACTATATACTTCTCTCATTCAGAGAACCACTTAGGCCTTTCAAATTTCCTACCACTTCTTTAAAATGGAATTTATAACAACTACTCAGACCACTCCTATGTATCTTACGGTCCAGCCTGGGTGAGATAAGCAATAAACCACCAACCTCAGCCTTCCTGTTTTGAAAATACTTCAAGAATCCTCTATAGGAAAATAACAGCAAGCACTGTTTGTGTTCTTATTCTTAAAATTACACAGTCAACCCAAAGGCACATGGTTCAAGTTCACCACCTATTCCACA